GGTCCTAAGGTAGCCAAGAGGAAATGCTGAGGGCATGCTCTGCTTTCTGCCAAATTCAATACTACCGGTTTGTGTCGGGTATTGTCTAAGCACCTGATTCAGGTCCCTCAGGAGGCTTGTACAGATAGATCTTGTTTGCGAACAGCCTAAGGCAGGGGTAAGCAACCTACAGTGCACAGCTTGGATCCAGTCTACTAAACAATGGCATCTGGCCCACAAAGCCAGGACATCAGTGGCAATTCTGTGACAGGGGAAGCAGTGCAGTAGTCTTCCTTTGCCCTTGCAAGTTTTCTCTGCCATGCCACCTGCTGCCATTCCAGCCCTTGTGGCTTTTTCTATTGTGTCCCCACACTACAGCCACTGCTTCCCTTTCCACAGAATTCATCAGTGGCAGCAAGAAATGGTGAGGGGCAAAGGACAGCTGCTACAGTACAGGAGGCAGAAGAGCAGCCCTTGGCACAGAGCACAGAGGGCTGAGGTGGTTCAGAGCAGCAGCCTGCCTTTGTACCCAACAGCCTTAATTTCACTCTGCTGCTTGTTAAAGGTTGTTGACCCCTGACCCTGACCTAAGGCATGATATAGATGCTAAGTCAGCCAAGATGCCGGTAGCAGATAAGCACCTAAGCAACACTGCCCAAAACATATGGGTGTTCAAATAACTTAGAGTAGTGGTGCTGAACCTTCCAGCCCAATGAGCCAGAAGAGTGGACTGGGGCTGGTTTGTGGGTCAGATTCTGTGGGAAGGATCAGTCTGTGAGCCTGATCCTGTGCATGAGGTGAGCATGTGGGGTCAGTCCACAGGTGCAATCTGTCACAACAGTCTAGTCCTATGCACTGGTCTGATCCCGCGCACTTGATCTGGCTGTATAGTGGCCCCGTGTGCTAGCATGATCCAGTGTAGGGGCTGTGTCATTTGGCCTCCAGAGTTCTCCATGGGACAAACGATTTGGCAGAGAGGGAGGAATGGCAGTGTTAATTGCTGAGGCTCTGAGAACAATTAATCCTACTATTACTCCATTCCACTCCCAGCTGCCAAACTTCCTGACCCAGGGGAAGCCCTATGGGTCAGATGACATGACTCTAGTGGCCACATTTGGCCAACATGCCAAAGACTGAGCATCACTGGCTTGTGCCAGATGCCTCTTAAAGATTCAGGCACCTACATTCTGCTTGTGTTGCAAATACAGCTCTTAAAGTCTTTTCTTTGGATCTGAAATGTACACTGATAATAGCACTATGGCAACCTATGTTCTCATAAGTAGGACAGAATAAAGATACTCAATTGAGCAGTATCTGAAATGTCTGCATGTAGTAGAAATTCATTCTGGTACTGTAATGCATTACGACGAAAATTAATAGCATTATACAAACAAATGTGTACAATCACATTTAATTACTGGTTATTATATTAAACTGGATTACAATCTGGAGTACCACCCTAAGCAGAAAATAAAAATAGTATAAATAAATTAAAATATGATCTGAGAAAAATAAATGAAAGAAAAATGCTTACTATATATAAGCTAAACTTTTTTACACTAAAAATAATTCTATTTGTAAACCAGAGAACTTAGTACTGGAAAGCAACATATTTAACCTCATTATTGACATATATTAAGGAACAAAAACTTAGACACTAAGTAAAAACTCATTCTTTTACCTGGCAATAGGTTCATTCCTATCATGGTAAACATTTATTCGACCAACAAATCTATAAAAGGAAATAAAAAAAGTTTACTCTGAGTGTATATATACATATATATGAAGGACAATTTTGGAAATATTATCTTTAATACATTTAAAATGTGTTTTATGCAGAACCTAATTATTTTTATAAGTGCATACACTTCATTTTTTAAAACCTTGGAACTACACAGGAAGTTAAGAAGTATTTTTAAAATGTTCCATAAAATGACCTTATTACAGTGAGCAGAATATTTACCAAGTCAGGATGCTTTGAACATCTAAGCTAAATACCCTAAATGAGTATCATATAATAACCATAATAAAAAATAAAGCCGTAAACTTGAGATTTATGTAAGATGTATTACACTTTCCATAAACCTCATTTTCATGAACCCACTTTAAAATATATTAGCTAGAATAGAAACAAAGATGTATGTAGTTTTAAGGTCACTTGCAAACTTTCTAGTTGGAATTCATTTTTATTTATTCATGATCAGTTCCAGAAATAAAATCTCTGTTTTATAAACCAGTTGAGCTAAGCAATATTATAAATGATATGCTGTATAAAACACAAAGATTTAAAAACATAGACATTAAAATAAAAAATTCATAGGCCAGGGCTTTAGGCCTTCTAGTGTGAAAACTGTCAGGAACAAAACATTAAATTACTAGAATATGGGGTTATGAATATCAGCAAGTAAAACCAACAGAATTCCCTCTTGCTCACATAAAAGACTATTCATAGATGTGTTTTAGGTGTATTTACCCAGTGATACTCATAATGAGATATCAATTAGAACTATGCATACCAAAACCAGTAGGGGTGTACTCATAAAGAATTTTTGGGCCAATACCGATGGTCAAGTATTAATGATCCATATCAGCTGATACCGATCCAAATGCTGATATGCATCCTGGCAGCTTGGAAAGCAACATCTGGCTGGTAAGTCTGTTGGGGAAAAGGAGTAGGGTGAGGGAAGGGGTGTGGCCAGACTGAGGCCCCCACAGTGGGGGAGGGAGTAGGGCTTGGAGCTGTTGCTGCCTAGCTGGAGCAGGGTGAGGAATGGAGTCGCAAGCGACTCATCTGGGGGATGCGAGCGGGGAGTGGGGAGCACTTCCCACTGCTGGTGCACAGTGGGGGAGGCCCAGGGGGACATGTGCCCCCAGATCTGCACATGGGGTGAAGGTGAGCTGCTGCTGCAGCCCAGGGCCAGGAGCGGCGCTGGGCTCTTACTGGTGGGGAGTTGGGCCAGGGCTGCATGTGAGGCCATGCTCCCTGGACTAGCTGTTTGCGGCTCCATCTCATACGCCCCCCCTGCCCTGGCTGGGCAGCACCTGTCCCAGTCCCAAGCCCCAATCCTTCCATCACCACAGGGGCCTCAATCGGCCCCCACACACCACTTTCCTCTTCCCACTCCTTTTCCCCTAGAGACTTACAAGCCGGATGTTGCTCTCCAAGCTGCCAGGCTGCGAGCATGCACACAGCATGCATCAGCAACATTATCAGCCAAAAAATGGTGATTGCCAATAATGTCAAATTTGTTTTTATCAGTGCCGATATGATATGAACCAATGTATCGGTACATCTTCTCTGAAAACCAGGTCTGTGTTTCTACTGACTACTGTGTAGTAACAAAATGCAGGTGTAAAGTGTAAAGAAGCTGTGTCAATTAACTAATCAATATTTTTAAATTGTACTTATAACACCATAAAATGTTATAGAAGGAAGATTTAAAAAAACCCAACAATTTAGTTGACACTATTTATGCCCCTTACTCAACTTTAGAATGTTTACTTTGCTGGAATAGAAACATTGGGATGAGTGGGGGAGGGGTATCAATAAACTGTTTCATTTTCAAGTTTTCCGGATTGCAAGTCTTGGGGTTTAAAAACAGGAGACTGTTTGCTTAAAATAAATATTACTTTCCCATATTGTAACTGAAATTCTTCAAAATGTGTGTATTTCCTTATCTGTGGTCCACTGAAATTTCACAGACACCTGAATCTGCAAAATTTTACCAGCAGTATCCCATCAGTCTTGTGGAATTTGCAATGAATTTCTTATCTTTATTCACACTTACAAAGTTTTTAAATCAGCAGGATATGAAGGAGAACTTAGTGTGACCATCTTATACAATGAAGAGGATGTCTTATAAACACCCTGAATGCAGGATGTTTCAAACTGACTGGAATCCATCAAATCTGATGGTACTTGGCATTGAATTAGTACAGCAGATGTGAGAATAGCAGCAGCCCTTTCCTTATTCAGTACTTAAGACTAAACACCTGGTACCACTTATTGATTGTTGCAGGTATGCTTGGTAACAAAACTACTTACATTACTCAATTTCATCCCACAGGAAGCATATACATGTACCCCTACACTAGCATTGTTACTGCGCTGCAGGCACAGCTGGTGAACTCAGACTGGTGGGGCGGGTGGAGCATCACACAGGAGCGGGGCAGGATTTGCAGCCAGCTGGGAGCAGGGGATGGAGGGGGAAGGGGTTTGCAGCCAGCCAGGTACTCTGGCTGGGAGTGAGAAGGCAGCTCCCCCGCCCCCCCATGCCGCTCTACCTGCCCCGCCAGTCTGAGTTTACCAGCCGCACCTGCTGCGCTGTCATTTAGTACTTCCTTTAGAAGTACGGATACAGTAACAGCCCATACTGTGCCGTGTCACGTCGGTGGTGTATGGTTATTTTTAGTCTCTATGTCACCGATACTATGTCGCTGTAGCACGTTGCTACTCTGACATAGCATCTTGTGTAAATGTGCCCACTGGGTATGAAAGCAGGTCACATTACAGCAGCTACAGCTCCTCAGAGCATTACGAAGCTCCTGAGGCTTCAGCTTCGAAGTACTTGTACTACACTCCATAGGAGACCCAACTGTACTCATACCAGGCTGCAATGTCTCAACGTGGAAGAAAGGAGATTGTGAGACATGGCAATTATTTTCTCCATCTCTAAGGAACTTAAGAGTTGTCCTTACCATCCTTCTTCTGTGAATCCAACTCCTTAGCCCATGATTTGAGGGATAAACCAACCAAGGTTGAGTTTGAAGTGACCTTTCTTACTTCCCAAGCCCATTCTACTGTGTGGGGAGGAAAGGGGGCTTCATGGGGTTGGGATCCTAGTCCTTAGTACTCAGTAACTTGCCTAAGGAACATTCTTAAGTGAATATTTCTAACTTTCGGTTTGAGAAAATGACCTGCTGATATACTTTAGAGCAGTAGAGGAAGGCTTGTCACAAATTAGCCCCATACCCTCCCCAAATGCCACTCCAATATCTTTCCCTTACTCAATCTGCCTTAGCTTTCTGCTCTCTGCCACATGCTCTTTGCCTGATCTGCTGCTCTACTTTCTGCACCCTGCTTCATCTGTCACCCTGATTTGCCACATACCACGCAGAGGCTGCCTGTGCCACAAGTTAACCACTTCTACTTCAGAGAGATGTAGGTCTTGAAGTATGTCAAGCAAATGCTGTCACTGTTTTTTTACAGGGAAGGGATACAAACAGATCACACAATTCTTAAGTTTGGAGACTATGGAAGAATACAGTTCTTACAGAGAAAGCATGTGAAGGAAAGAGTTAAGGAAAATGATCTCTATACTCTTCATGTAAGCTACTCTTAATTCTATATAAATACCAAATTATTAAAACAATACTAGCAAGCTACCAGCTATATACCATCCAGCCGAGTACAAAGTAAAGCTAAGTCCTCTTGGCTTGCACCATCTCAATCCAAGATGGGGTGAAACAACTAGAGTGCTGTTAGAACCTTGAAATAATGCATGGAGATAGTTATAGTGTACCTGTCGCGTAAGCAGGCACTTCTGACAAAAACACTGGTTTTAGGTAAGTGGAGCGTGAACACAACCTATATACAGGAACAGTAAGTCAAAGAAGCAACTATTTTACAGTACTTTTTTTCTTCAAACTTGTTTTATTTTACAAAAGCTTAATTTAACATTTAAAATCTGGGCTAGATCTGAACTAACACGATCCGTTCAATAGCATCATTTTGTAGCTTGTTTACAGGATACCACAACAGCATATGCTAACGCTATAAAGATACAAATGATTTTCTTACTTATAAAGGTCAGGCTGAGGTTGTTCACATTCAATGGTAGCATGCAGTGCATCAATTTCTTGTTCGGTACGAAATGCTTTTGTATCTTGAACAGCACAGTAAGTCTGGAATGAATGAGGAAAAAAAAACTAAACTAACTATAAAATTGTGGCATATATACTAACCAAGATATTATCCTGCAGATGTAGCTTAGAGGGCTATGCCTCTCCCCTAAACAGAACACATACATATTGAGTCTGTCACACTGAAAAAGGCTCTCGGAGTCAATATATTATTTATATTTCTGCATTAGGCTGTTAGAGCCTTGTAATATTGATTTTCATTATAAGTGCATCCAAATGCATACCCTGACCTGAGATTTTCCTCTGCTTGCCATAACAGACAGACAATTCATAAATGTAAAAAATATCTGGATGGTCCTCTACCCTTTGTATCATAAATTCTAAGTAAAATGTATTTTTTTTTAATAAGATTTTACACCAAGATTTGTACTTCATAATAGGCACATCCAAGTATACCTGACCTTTCATATTCCTAATTCCTGAAGTTTGAGTTCTACAAGTGTATTAAAAAGACACAACTCTGCAACCTGTGTGCCTATCTTAAGCCCTGGCAAAAATACAGATATAAGCAGGGATCCTGGTTTTCCCTTATAAAAAAAAAGCACAGATTCTGACAAAAACCCCAAAATCCACAACTAAAACGAAACACTGTTCTCTTTCTGTATATCTACCAACTGAACACAATGTTTTATTGATATATTTACCATTTTAAAG